TGCCATGTGATCTGAAATGGAATCCGGTATAACGGCTTATTTGCGTCACAACTCTCCCTCTTCTGTCTTCCCTTCTGCTTCCAGACGCTTGTGTCGCTTTGCCGCAGAGTTTACTTTTCGAATTTTCGTTATTAAGATGTAATCTGTATGAAATTGGGAGGGGGTGAATAGCGCCCCCACAGTGCGCATTATCCAGAAATAAAATTATTTATGGAATTTAAGCCGTGTCTGCAAGCTTTTTGGTTTATGTATCCATCGTTCTAATTACGAAGCAAAGTCTTGAAGTTATGATGCAGAGAACCTTCGCCAATCCGTTGCCACTTTCCTCTACAAAGTCATCTTATACAATAATACAATCTTATTTAATCTTATACAATAATAACGCAGTTTTATTACATATATCTATATATATGTAAATTCTGTATAAATGAACTATATATATATATTAAAAAATAACTGAAGGTTGATAAAATATTAGACTTTTAATTGCAGACTTTTAGAGCTTGTTAAGGAGATGATTTCATTAAACTTACAAGCATAATTATTATAATAAACAACATTATAATAAACATTATTTAAGAAATTATCATTGCTTGATATTGATTGGAGATTTAAAATTTCGCAATTATTAGATCCTGATTACCGAACATATTAATAAGTTTATTATTTTTACCACTGGATCTTTTACTACTGGATCTAAAGAATTTGGTATTAAATGTAGTGTATTTTTCTGAATGTAGCTAATACTTTTGGATGCTTAACTATTTATTCAGAAGCGAATAAGATTTCATAGTTAATCGGATAATAGATAATAACAGATAACTGGTAACAGGTAATTTTAAAAACATTACGACTTTTTTTCAAATGAGTTTTTTTGCTATTAGTATTTCTTTCTGAATAACTCCTTATTGCGCGTTAGATGGTGACCAGGCCTTAAAATATTGTTTAAATCCAGGCATCAGCACTTATTTTTAACTTATTTTGGAAACTTTAAAAACAATGTGATTTTATGAGTTTCAAAATCCGCGTTAATTTATGAATGAACATAGATGCTTATAACCTCGAAATAGTATTATAGGTGGAATGCAGTAATACTTCAGTTTTACGACGTACAGAATTTGGACCAGAAAAAAAAAATAAAGTGATGTATTTAGAAAACTGGATATTTATGAGCTTCAACTCGTAAGCTAGTAGTTACATGATTAGTGGGTAAAAGTACTTTTATGTTTGAATGCTATTAGGCGAAGCTAATCAAAAGTTGCAATTCAAAGATTACTAGACCTTATGATGCTGCAGTTATGGCGGAATCTTAACCCCACACTGCGTGGCAATGCTATTTCTCAACATAAATTTGGATGCCCTTTTCCAGGCTAAATGGAATCAGGTTAAATCTTGGTTCTAATTGAAAACACCACGCATTTAGTTAAAGTTCATACGGGTTCTCTAAATGTAGCTCTTAGTTACATTCATCCCTAGACTTTATGCCCATATGTTTTATTTGTATAGAAATATAGCTCATGGCATGGCAGCGAGTGTTATCAAATTATATACTGTTAACGAATTTTTTTATATATGTAAATAATTTTAGTGCAATTATATGTGAAACTGTAGTATTTTTGTGTAATATGTAATATAAAATACTTGACAGAGACGAAATTCTGCCGGAAACATAAGCTTACAGGGGCAAGTCTATTTCACTATCTCGCTAAACTGCCGATGGTTTTGGTAACTAATTTTTGTCACCAAATTTGGCAGAAATCGCCAAAATCAGCCAAATTTATTGACCATTTGGCGACATTTTGGTTCGATCCCTGTATATCTGTAATTATTATTGTGATAGAATAAATGTAACTGATCCCTTTATGTAACTGGAACCGTGGTCCTGTTTATGTAACTGTAACATCATATGCTTTCCAGTAATTTCGAGAAGTGGAAGGTACTAGAGATTTCTTGGCTGCAGAGGGAAAACTATATTAGCCTGGAGAGAATATTAGTTCTGAGTTATTAATTAAGCGGGAGTTCGGAGTACTGAGAGATCTCCGTAGGAGCTTCGCCTTTTAGATGTTCTTTGCATTGCCTTGTGGTCAACTTTCTTAGCAGTTTAAACCGTAACCACTGATTATGCTCTATGATACTCAGAAGAGCTGTACGAGTGCTTTTCTGGAAAGTTCTATAACAGTAAATTGCTTCTTTTGGGAAAATACATTTTATCACGCTACTATCGGTTCTGTGTTCATTCAATCCATTACGAACCCGTACGCCCCAAACATACCATTATACTCGTAATACACTTTACAGAAAACATGATTTTTGATATTTTAGAAATCATTTTAGTGTTACATATGTTTGATAGAAATAGAAAAGTGATAATTTTATCCATGACCAACTGGCTGGGTACATAAAATTCTGTATTAATATTTAGCAACATCGTGCATTCTAGCAGGGCCGGAGCTACACCTGTATAAATCGGTTGACTGAACATTTCACGCTAGTTTTACATAATCAAATGAGAAGTAAAAATCATTTTACTATGGAAAAACAGGATCAGTTAGTGGAACTGCCTCAATTTTTAAGTATGACTTCCTAATGATGAAAAGTGAGAATAATGACGAGACTTATGACAGTAGCAAGAAACTCACAAAATCAAACAATGGTACAGTAAATCTCTTTGTTTCTCAAGTGAATGCTGTTATTCTAAAAGGTAAGTAAATCGGATTCTGCCGGTCCATTAGAAAATTGGGCCAGAATGTCAAGTTCAGGAATCCCAAATGAAACATTGGTGTTTCAGGTATTCACAACCGTCCGCACAAAATATATACATAGAAAATTAATAAATGCATCAAATTAAATAAATAAAGAAAGAAATATGAGATGTATTATGGAAGAAGAAAAAGATGAAGCTGTAGGGTTTTCTGTTTATTTATTCATCATCTGATTTTTTATTTCTAGTATCACTTCTTTTTTCGTCCTAATATTTTTACCTACTAGTTTAATTAACATATATACAAGCAGAATTCTTGAAATTGATGAGAGCTTTCGACAATGACCGCTTACTGTCTCCGAACTGCTTTTACTTTTGCCCAGCTTCTAGATTTTATCTGAACCGGTTTTAACCTTAATTGCTCACATGACTCGAGGAATCCAAAGCTCTAGGATTTAGTAGAACTAATGGTCCAAATTTTTATAACTTAGTAGGACCAATGATCTAATACTTCAGGATTTAGTAGGAGTTTGCCTTGTAAATATATACTTTAATTGCTTAAGTTTCTTTAACCTTTGTGTTCTTTTTATCCTACAACCCGCGACTTCTAGTACGATACGAGCTGAGTTCTAACTCTACTAATTGACATCAACTCAGAGAAAAGGTTTATTTTAAAAACATTTCTGAAATCAATGTTATTTTAACGGGAGATTTAAGATGGAGTGATAATTCGGCTGACTGTCTACACAGAAATTTAATTTAGCTTTTATTATAATAAGTCGTCATTATAATAATTCACATAAAATAGGTGAAACATTCTTTTCTTATAACAGGAGATCCGTCAGATGAGATACTAGTCAAAGAACTTCCCTATTAAGTGCAAAAACCTGATTTGTACATCCTTTTTCTTGTTTGTATTTCCTGCTGTAAAAGCGGTAGCAATAAGACAAGAGTTATCACTGAATGTAAGTTGTTGCAAAATAGCAACAAGCAATGGAAATTTATTAAATACAGTAAAACAAGAAATGTTTTTAAATACTACCCCCTGTCTCTGGCAATCCTTTATAACAACATTTTGTTGCGAAATGACCAGCTGCTGTAAGGTAACTTCCTTCAAACCGGGGCTAGGGTTTCCAGAAAGTGGCAGGAAGATGCAAACTTGCCATATTTGGCGCGAAACCCCCATTTGGCGACAAAATTGGCAATATGCCGTAAACAGAGCGAGAACCTTCTAGAACGCATTCTTGGCGGTTTTCCTCGGGAATATTCTCGAAGGTAGGATAAAGCTATATATACCTTGCCTGCACGCGGACAGAGGAGCATCTTGAATTTAGTAGTAGATTAGTAGTGTCTTGAGTTCAAAGATCAGCATGAGGGTGATCGACCGAGTCGGGAACTGTACTTTACTGCTTTACCGTGGAGCTGTTTTCACCATTACAGCCTGATAATTTGAAGGCTGTTGAATTTTTAGCGTGTTTATCGGAGTTTTTCGACGACTGTAAACATGTAATTGCCCAGTGTAATACTGGCGACTGTACACAGGACGTAATTGTCCAGTGTAATACTGGCGAATAAATTGTGTTTTGTTTCTTCATCAAGTATTACCATCAATTAATCCAAATCCAAGAAGCCATAAACCGCAATAATATGTTTTTTCGGTGCTAAAATAAAATTCCATGTAGTGAGAGAGTGATCAATAAATTTAACATATCGTAAGTATAATTCTTGCTGTATATTAAATGTATCCTCAGTGGTCTTCATCCTTAAAACTGGAAAGGAACTGCATAGTTAGTGCAACAGGACTATACCTGTACGACAAATGGTGAAATTCTGGTGTCCCGCCGACGTGGACTCCTACACGTACGTTTATACTAAATGCACATAACCAAAAATGAATTTACTGTATTCATACTGGTCATAAATATAATGACATTATATTTATGACCTATTATATTATTATTATTATTTAAATTTATTATTATTATTCTAAACTTATTCTAAACTTTAAAATAATTATTATATAATTCAAAATAAATCGTGAATCTGAAATTTATAATGTATTATGGGTTTCTAAAGCCCACCCAATACATATTTCTGCAAATTTCATTCGCAAAGAGGCAGATAATTAAGCTCAACCATGCAAAGAAACTCTTTTGAGTCTTTCCATGCAGTAAAATTATTCTTTTTAAAGTAACTAGGAGTGCAGTTCTCTTTTGTATGTGTTTATGACTGCTGCATAATGCCTCATTTTAACTTTGCACGGTCTAACGACTAAGTCTCAAACTAACGATATACATTGTCTTTAATTTCTCTTTGAAGGGATTCCAGCACTGCTTCGGATAACGAAGACCTATTGTACACACTCCATTCTCCTGATGACAGAATTATTCGAGACGAAGCCAGGGAGTCCGAAACAGAATGTGATAGGCTGTGTGAGTATCTGCCTTGCATTTATATTGCTCTCATTTTACTCCTCGTGGTGGCAAACTGGAGGTAAATTATTCGTCTGGTGCCGCTGGCTTTCAAGTAGGAACTAATTTGTGTCGAAATTAAATACCACAAAATATTGCCTTCTACAAGAGCTTATTTCCTTAACAATAAATAAACGGGAAGGAAGGTAATTACATAAAAGCAAAGAAAAATTCATCTTAACCGAAACTGATAACATAGATTTTATTTTACAAAAGAATATTGCCGTCTTAATTATGCATAATATTGATGATAATTCATGTTACATATTCCATTAAGCAGCTGTGCGTGAAAGCGCGACATATGTTTCTAGATATATGTGTGAAGGCAATATATGTAAATTTGTTTATTATTAACGCTGTTTATTCCATGAGCGTATGCAGCATAAAAAGTCATACTTGGTATAATTTATTGTAAATGCAACTTATTTTGAGATTTCTAACGTATATGTATATGCGTGTGTAAAATATAAAACATTAAACAAAACTACGAGATTAATCTCAATTGGAACCAACTGGTGATAGGTCTTCAAATTCATAAATTTTAATTAAACATATCCCATCTGCAAAGATTTGCTTTGCCCCTTTTTTGTCCACTCTGCCGCATCGTACATCACACTTTCCCTGTAATATATCTGCACTGCGTTATCTTTAGTCCATTCGTTGCTCAGGATTAACGCAAAGACTTAATGGGTATGTATATATAACATAGTAAATTAGCATTCTTTGCTTTTTCGGGCATTGTTTTTTCAATAAATATAACGGTTTTTTTAGTCTGTTCAAAAGACATTTCTTTCATTGTTATTATGAAATAAATTAAACGTGTCCATTCATACTTTTGGTAGGGAAAAATTTATATCAGCCTTAATTAAGTATTTGATATACAGCATCTCTGACAGAAATGTTCTTAATTAATCCAGATTACACGGTTTGATGAAGATTGTTGTTAATAACGATGTAAAAGTACCAAATATCTGCTTAAGATGTCGGCGATAGGGGCGTGGACAGCTAGGTTGTAACAATTGTAATATGCTCAAGAACATTTTTCCTGCACCTCAAAACTCCCGAAAGGCTCCAAACCAACATGCATTAAATGCAATCCGATCATTTAGTCACCTTGACCAAATGTGCATTTCATACCCTTAACAGAAGCAAGAAATTCGAGAGTTGCTCAAATCTAACTCTGATGTAAATTCCTTCATGGCTTCTAAATCAAAGCTATTCGGAAAATAAAATCCTGATGACGTCATCCGGAGCTAGCGGAGAAAGATTTCGGCCCAAAATTTATTTGTTAACGTTTTTCACAATTTCGGACTTACGAAAATTCTCTCAAAAATTTTAGACACTTCTAAACTTTTCAAAGATGCTAGCTGTCCACTTCAAAATTTACGGTACGTGTTGAATTTGATGAGCGTTTTAGAAAAAGACTTGTTATTAGTGTGAATTTCTTTTCCCATGAAAATGATTGGGGAAGAGAAAACCCGTGACCTCTCTCCAGATTCAGCAATTGCATTGTAGTTTTCAGACTTCTCATAGCTATTAACAGATGACGTCACATTCAAAGGTCAGATAAGATGAACTTTGCTTCTTTTTCGAACTTTCTCGAGTTTTCCAAGCTCAAGCCATTCTTTTCTGAGCCACAAAGGCAAAAATGCTATGTTTACTAATTCCGAGTTTTTTCATGTAAAATTCATCACGAAGCCCATTGTGAATTAGTTCAAGCTACAGCAAAGTATTGCGGATGTAGCAGAAATCCTTTATACACACATAAAGCATCAAAGCGTCTTCGCGGTCTTTGATGAAGGCAGACGAGAGTTGTGTGACCACGAGACTTCTTCGATGGTTCTGTGTAGCTTTTAAAGAAGCAAGCTCTTTGGGGTGATTTGCCATGCATTTACAAGGTATTCTGATGCATATACAGGTTAGTATCATTATTGGGTCCCCTAATTCCCAGTCGCCCTCTAAAAGGGGGAGTATATATGTTCTCCCTCCTGTTATGTAGAGAAATTATCTGATAGCGTTATAAAAAAATTAGGTGAATGATTTTATGATTTATGGAAATTTAAATTTTATTTTGATTCTGAATTATTTATTTAAGGCTTTAATTTTGGGGAAAAACAGATGCTTCTGGGAATATTATTTAGTTTAAAAGAATATTATTTATTTTCCTCTATTTGCAAATCTTGTACAAACTTTTATTCATTGTGAAAGAAGCAGGGAAAGGGAGGCAATTTTTGCCAAGTCATGATTTCGCGCGCTTTGTCCTTTAGAATGTTCGAGAAAGAATTTTCATTGTTAGTTGACCTTAAGAGAGGACAGAAAGCCTTGTCTTTCAATGTAAGTCATTCAGGTTTTTGGCGATTGAGGGTCCGGTTGTTGGCTAAGTGAAGAAGGGCGCGCATGCGCGATCACCCTTATTTCCGCATTCTGGAGTTGAAAACGAAGATTTTGCCATAATTAAGGGGGCGATAAGTGAAGCCATAGTGGGAGCCCGTTTGGTGAAGGAGACGAAGGAAATTCGAGTTGGAGACACTTACTTTTGGCTGACTCTCGGGCTGACTCGCTGATTTTTGGGCTTGCTGGACAAAATGTAAGTGACTCCGAGAGAGATGTTTTCCGGCGGGGAGCGGCAAATATGCTCCCCGGCCGCGTTTTGGTTAAGAGGCGAGACTCTCTTACACACTTACTCTTGGACTCGCTTAGACTCACGCTTGGATTCGCTGACTTTCGGGTTGCTGGCTTGTGGACGTTGCTCTTGAAAACTGGCTTGAAGAAAATTCGAGTTGGACTCTCTCCCTTACTGACTGGCGGGTGGAACTTACTTGGGGTTACTCGTGAAGCTTGCTCTTGGGATGAGTAAGAACAGGCGAGCCGTAATTGCCTAGAAAAAAAAAAACGTTTCTGACCTGACCTGAGCTGAAAACCCTCTTCCTTGCGGCGTGCTGGTAAAGAGGCGAAATTTGAACGAGTTACCTGCGTGTGGACATAGGACTTTCAGGACCAAGCGGATAGCCGTCCTGGGCAGCAGTGCTCCTGTTTTGTTCTACAGTAGTGAAGTTGGAGTCTACATTTTAGAACCAGTGTCAAGATGAGCCCGGCCGACATCAACGCTTGATAAGATAGAGTCCTCCCTGCTCAAGATGTCCAAAGCAGATAAGTCAATTTTTTTTTTTTTTTGTGTGTGTTGAATTCTCACGAATTCAATTTAACATTGGTGCCGTGACCTCTGCTTAGTGAAGGATCGAATCAGTAACTTGATTTTGAATTTATTTTGTGTAACTTTGTTTTAGTGAAGGTTTAAAGATGTGCTAGGATTAATGATAGTTTTGATTTGTGTTTGCTTATTTGTTAATACGAGAGGATAAAGTTTTGAGAATGTGTGTGGAATTTCAGGAAATTTTGGACTTTAACGTTAGGCAAACAGAATTGAACTTTAAAATTAGGAAAAATATATATATTTTTAATGTAGCAGAATAGGTACTGTACATTTTTTACTGTTGAAAATCCTTGAGTGTTTTCTGGATGTGTATTTTTGATTTTCGACGTACTGATTTATGATACAAGATGGAAAATGAATTATTTCACGATAATCCTATGCTATTTGTGTATCCTTGTATAAAGTTTCGAGTGCTTGTCTTTAAAAACTGGACTCATTTTTTGAGCACTATTAAGAGAGCGAGACTTAAAGACTCTAATTATTTTACTGAATGAGACAAGCCATAGCTATGCGTAGCTAGAAATTTTTTTTGTGTGTGTTTTTGATAATTATTTAACCTAGAATCTTGTGAAATGTGTAATTGTGAGGGGTAACGTTAGAGAAATTTTGATTTTTTTGACTTGATTGAATAATATTTTGTGAAATGTATGTAATGTTTGCATAATTATCTAGCGCAGTATATTATTGCTTTTTGATTTACAATGTTTTGATATGATTCCAGTATATTGTGTAATGTGTTAGAAAATTTAATTTAGTATTGAGCAATGAATTTTATAAGTTCTTAAGGCATAATGATACAAATGAATGAGTTAGAAAAATTGAAGATTTTTTTTCAATTGCAAAATTCTGTTTTAAAGTGAACATGGGTTAGATTTGGATTTTTGCCTGAGATCAGCAATAGTGATGTTTGGTTATTTAATTTTTTTGGATTGAATTCATCAGCTTGAGTGAAGTTCTAATTAGTTTAATGAGTCAGAGTAATTGAGATTAGTTATCTTCTGAGTTTTAAGTTTGTGAAGAGTTGTCATGTGAGAATTGTTTAAACAGTAGAAATTGAGTTAGTCTTGTGAATTGTAGAAAGTGAATTTTAATGAGAATTTTGTGACAACGGGAATTTGTTTTGATAAAATGTTTGAAATAAGTTTGAGAAGATTAGTTACTTTTGCTCTGTACTCATGTGTGGGAATTTTCTGTTGATTACAAGTAGTTTGTCTTGAATTTACTAGTGAATCGTAATAGATTTGATTTGAGTTATTGAATTTTCTTTCTTGGTTGGACTTGTTGCTGAATTTGGGGTTAATTCTTGTTTTGGCTTAAGTTTTGTATTTGAATTGGTAGTATCAAGATAGTTGTATCAGGTTTTTGTTTTGTTTTGGTGGTTTCTGCCAAGGTCCGTAAAATGTAAGTTCTCTGATGTTTAGTTTCTGTGGAAGAATTGAGATTTCTGTGGTTATAGGAAAATAGTAGAATTTGAGTTATGGATTTCATTTGTGTGATTTTTAGGGATTTTTGAGTTACGTTAGAGTATGAGTACTTTTTTTTTTTTTTAGTTTAGCACTTTTGAGAACTTTGCATTTGTTGCTTGCAGTTAGGTCTTGCGTGAAGTTGTAATGTCCTGAAAGCTCGTTTTCTTGTAAATACTTGCACTTCATGGTGGCACTTGACCTCTTACACCGGGGCAAAAAAACAGGAACTTGTTATCTGAGAAAACTATTGTTGTATCTTTTTCATTGTGTTGGTTCAGAAT